TAACGGTAATAATTAGTAGTGTTTTCGAAAACTTGTTTTTTATAAACGATAGACTGTGCTAAGTAGAAAAGGATAGTTTTCAATTGAGAAATATCTTTTCTTGTTCTGTATACGAGGGTTGTTCAAAAAGTTCGTGGACTGTGGCTCAACTGTTCACATCTTTTAATTTGCGTATATGATTTTACAAGAGACATATATGAATATATGTCCTTAATAAACAGTGAAAAAATCAATACAATATGTTTACAGATAACAATTCTGTGACAGTAACAAATCACAAGGGGTGCACAAACCGGCGCACGCTGATGATGAAACAAAATGACGTTTGTGACGTCGCAATATAAATGAAACATTTTACCAGCGTCATTGTTTCTGAAAGTACACTTTTTATTGTTCAATATCTGCGGATCATATACCAAAACCATGTTTCTGTTTGTGATGATGACCCGAGATATAAAGTGGTAATCTTTTTGCTCCATTCTCCGTATAAAGGTCCGAGTGCCGCATACTTTCCGCTCTTTATCGGGATTTTTGAGTAATTTCGACACCTAACGGACAGTGTTATTAAGTTAATTCAATTGTTTTTTTTTTTTTTTTTTTTTTTTTTTTTTTTTTTTTTTTTTTTTTTTTTTTTCAGTTTCGGGCGCCCAGTTAAGGGGTAACCCCATTTATTTTCCCCGTCATTGGCATAATAGGGGTCGAGGAGCATCCTCCTATCAGCCTTACAATAATACAAGTATATATATTTGATTTCTTACAAAATAAGAATCAGTATAGATAATATGAAAAATATACAATTCGCAAACGTATCATTTACTTGTCCGAAAAGCGAAAAATGACAAGGTTGAAAAGCGAGTTAACTCTTAATGAATTAAATCTATAGTTTCAATTAAGTTGCTTCCCATATATATAAGGTAATATTCATACAAATTACAAATATTTTAAAAATTCTGTCACTGAATCGTTTTTATTTCTACATTTGTATTCAAATTGGTATTTTATATCATTGAACAAATTTCTTAACAAAATAGGTATTGGTTGATATAAATAATTATGCTTACAATTGTTACGATATTTCCATATTGCCCATTTGGTTTCGAATATAACAGTATTGATCAATTTATCATTCATTGCGTGTTCAAAAGATCCAAAAAGTGCAGTTGATTGGAAATTTGAAAAATCATTTTCCAAAATTTTAGCGGACTTAAGTTTTTGAATTACATATGTCCAAACATTCTTAGAAAAATCACATTCCCAGAAGAGATGAAACAGAGTTTCTCTGTGAGATTTACATATACAACATTTACCGTCAGATAAATTCATAAGAGACAGCTTGTGTTCTGTATAAATAACATTGTGTAAAAATTTCCATTGAAATTGTACAGCTTTGCATGAAGAAAAAGAATCATAAACGTGGCACCATATTTTACTCCATGGTAACTCCATATTAAGTAGGGTTTCCCATTTACTTTCACTTTTTAATTTACCAGTCTTTTGATTCCATATATGAGATATTTGTTTTATTTTAATATTTTCAGGCAATATTTTTTTTTGCGTCTTGCTCGTTAAGACAATATCATCTAAGTGAGTGTAATTCGACACTGTTTCATAATGATGTTCTTTTAAAGCAGTTATATACATTTTAGGAATGCTCGATTTGAGAATATGCCATTCGGCAATCCAGTTTCGCTTACAATTTAATTTCCTTAAAAGAGTGTCTATGCTAATAAAATTATTATTTTCAAAGTCCCCAATATCTTTTAAAAAACAATATATTACTTTTTTACAAATGAATTGAAGTAAAGTGTTTTCTTGTGAAAACGAATTTCAGTGTTACAAAAAAGAAATATATCTTTTACATCGGACAGAGACTTTGGCTTAAACTTCGCTTTAAACCGACACCAATTTCCGAGAGCGGAGTTGTAAAACGTACTTATGTTCAATTTGAAAGGTAAATTTTTCTAATGAAGAACATTTACACAGAAAATAATCAATTTTTTTTTCTCCATTAGTATCATATTTTTGTAAAAAATATTTTCCTATTGCGTTCCAGTTCTGTATGTCAGAGTGTATAATTTTGTATATTGTTTTAACATCCAAACTGGCTTGAATATTTGAAATATTACAATAGTTAAGACCTCCGTCTTTCAGGTCAAGGAGAATTGTGCTTTTAGAAACTAGCGGTCGCCTATTGTCCCAAAGAAAATCGCTCATAATTTTTTAGATTTCTTCTATGTATTTTGTCGGTATACCGCGCGTTTCAATTTCAAAATTAATAATAGAAACTACATATGTTTTCAGAATAAGAATTTTCCCTTTTAAAGTCAGGCCCCGAGCTTTCCATACTTGAAGACAATTTTTAATTTTGTTTATCTTTTTCATCCAAATTTCATTCGTATCTATATTATAGCCGTGACAAATTCCTAAAGTTTTAACATAATTTCTCGTCCATTTTATATCTTTAAATTTCGGAGTCCTTTCTTTTGATTTTCCAATAAAGATGGCTGTTGTTTTATCCTTATTCATTTTGGCCCCAGAGGAAATTTCATATTCTTTTAAAGTATTAAATATTTCTGGAACTGACGACTCATTCTCACAAAAAAATTGTGTATCGTCAAGTTAATTCAATTGTTGATTTATAGTATCAACTTGAAACCGCCCTCGTCCGATCTTTAAACAAAATGAATATCAATGATAAAGAAAAATATTTTACCAACTGACAATAATTCTATGCGGTAAATCTACTGAACACCGGCTAGCATTAATTATAAAACAGACCAGAGTAAACACACGTAATACAAATAAAATTATTGGTTGTAGATACGCATATATCCTGATGAATGAAATAAAATATTATTTAAATTAAATTAAATTGTTTTGTCAGAATTGAATCCATAGACCCGATGCAGAAATTAAAAAATGTCGGACATCTCGCAAACCTTTCATACTTCTGGACTTCTGTAGATCTTTTGCAACTGACGTTACAAACGTCCCAACAATTTGCCGCTAAAAATTCTCCGTCGCCCTTTCTGTCTGTGAGCATGTATTTGCCGTATTTGAATAGCTTGCACAACCTGAAACCAACAGACTTGCTCGCCAAATCATTGTTCTTTGTTAATTTAATCACCTCATAAAAATATGAAGGATTATACCAAATTTATTGGTAAAAATTTCCGAAAGAGCGAATTTCTAGTTTTTAAACGGGCTTTATACTTCCCAACTAACCCGTCTCTCTACTGCTACTCAAAACCTGTTTGTTCAGCTATTCAACGTCCAAAAAACGTCATATTTCAGATTTATGTCATTTAAATATTAGTTGATGATTACTGGTATTTTACTTCATAAAACAATCATTCAGTTTGTTTCACCATTTGTTTATATTTTAACATTATACGAAAATTTTGGCGTGCGCCGATGTTGCGTTGCCATGGTTATTAAAGTGCACATAACTCGTAAAGGAAATATAAGTTTACAATAAAAGTAAATCTTACTTGTAGAAATAAAAACACTCTTTCGATTCATATCCACTTAGGGTGTTTTTATGAACCAAGCAAAAAATGACAGCAAAAGTCCACGAACTTTTTGAACATACCTCGTATAATCATATTGTTTTAAAAACATACAATGACATGAGTAAATTAATAAAATAAATTGCTTTTGCTTTAACATTTTCAGTCCTATTGAGTTCCAAGGTTACTCAAAAAACACGAGAAAACCCGGAGAATGGCCGGCTATCGGGCATTTATTTATTTATTTTATTTTTTTTGAAACAGTGGATCGAGAATGTGATCGCTTTTTTCTTGCTTCATCTCCACATATGAGGCAAAGTAAAAGTTACATGACTCATACACCTAGAGACTAGGGAGACTACTTTCAGAAAGAATGACGCTTATTACAATTTCGATTTATTTTACGACGTCATGAACGTCAATTATTGTATTGTTAGCGTGCGCCGCGTTTCGAACCCCTTGTCATTTGAAAACTTCACAGAAATTTCATTTGTTTACATTTTGTTTTGATTTTTCACTATATATAGAGAACATGTTCCGATATTTGTCCTATGTAAAATTTTGTACGTAAATTTAAAAATGTGAACAGTAGAGCTGTAGTCCTATTACTTTTTGAACAACCCTCGTATACGTCAACGGGTTGTCCACATAATTAGCCGTGAAAAAACGTTATTTAACAGCTATATTTATCATTGTAAAATGTGAATATCAGATTAATGATGGAAAAAACATGAAATAGGTTTCATTATAGACTAGTCACGGGTCGAAATTTTGTCATGGAATTGCGAGCGATTCATGAGTCGAAGTCCCGATGTGTCGAAGTTTTTACGCAAGTCCCTTCAACTTCGACTTACCGAAGTTCTACTGTATATTAAACAAATACAAGCTCTAGAAAAAATAAAATATAAATATTTCTATTTACTACCATGTTTTTGCTATATTTGAGTATAAATTTTCTTTATTCTGTGATCATAAAAATAATAGATTATCAATGGAAGTTAAGACAAAGGGTAAAAGAATCATGATGTTTATACAAATCTGTGTGAGAGATAAGAAAATGTACAGACAGAGGTGAACTCAGGACATTAAACTTGACGTAAATAACCAAATATAGGCATGGATAAAGTAAACAATGTATGCAGCACTATATTTCTGTAGTAAACACACAAAGTTTCCTTAAAACAAATAAACATGTACAATGCACTACAAAATTTTTATATCTAATTTGTTTTTATCATTAAAAACAGCTGACATCTGTTTTTTAAAACAATGTACATTTTCCTTTGTTCTCCATTTCAGAAGACATTGGTTAAAAGATATTGTAACATTACAGAATTTGCAATAACAGTCGAGTAGGAAGATACTTTAACAGGTATATGTATAGGACACTTCATCTTCTATCAGCTAGACAAAAGGTTATTTACATATATTAATGTAAAATTCAAAATCAAGTCATTTGTGACAAAAATTACATTGTTAAATATATCTCACCTTGAACTGGTCTGGCAGACTGCATCAAAACTTCCGTTAGGGTCGCCCTGTATTGCTGAGAGGGAGAAATGAAACGTTCTTAAGCTGTCCCCGCCCTCTGGTATTTGGATACTCTGAAATTAGTCAACAAAATAGCACAATTAACAGGGTACAGTCTTTTTTTATCAGTAGATGACATTAAAACATTTCTTTTATGTTTTTTTTTTAAAGCAGAATACTACTGATCTATGCAAATATTTAAGAAAAAAAAAAAAATATTTGAAGTAAAAATGTTGTGAGGACTTTAAAGTGACTTCAGGTAACACACATGTAAGGACTTAATCACAGAACTTATCAAATAATAAAACTTGCAGAAAAAAAGACAATGTTTGTAAAATATGAAATGAATGCCCTCACCCCTTATAATGGTAACCAACTAGTCCTGCTACCTGGACATTTTAACTGTCAACTTTGTCCAACATCACCACCAAATCTTAAGTCTGTAATTAAGTGTGTTCTTATAATCTTTAGGTGATAATGGTCAGGTCGGCGTTTAGTCAACCTTTGATTCTTTGACCTCATCCTCTACTGTTAGAGGACTTATACTTTCAAATATTTCATCATGTTTGTTTTTTGTTTTGTTTTGGGTTTTACATCACACCGACACAGTATAGGTCGTTCGGCACCTCCAGCTATACTGGTGGAGGAAGACCTCAGGTGCCCTTCCGTGCATTATTTCAGGCACGAAAGGGCACCTGAGTAGAACCACCGACGTTCATAGCTGGATAGCTTCCTCACATGAAAGAATCCAAAGTCCCTGTCGGGATTTGAACCCAATTCATCATGTTTAAAGAAAAGTAAAAAATGATGAATGGAATTAAAAGAAATAACATACCCCTTGGTTTCCTTGGAACTGTATACATGGTTTCTGTGTACATGAGGGCTGAAATTGAAAAAATCAGACATTTTACCATGATTGTAAAAATATACAAAGATTCTAGTACATTAATGGTTCATTATGATTGATGGGGAAATTGATAGATTATCATAAATATATTTCATTTTTTATTTTAATATATTTCAATATGAGTAAAATCAATTATATCAAAATATATATTTTTATTTCTGATCAGACAGAAAAATTATAGAAAAAGACTTGCAATTCTTTCTGGATTTTGCTGCAATCCTTCAATATACACAAAAGTAATTCAATTGATATAGTCTGCCTTTAATTAAACTATCTTAATGACAGTATAGGTCTAGGATCAAACCCAACATCAGAAAGACTATAAAGACAAATTGACAAAGTTGAGTGAAGGTCATAAATTCTGATGCAATTATATAAATGCATGCAGATACTTTAATTTATTTGAAGGTACCCAATCATACAGACGGTGACCTATCTATACTTCTTTAGGAATGTTATCAAAATAATGCAACATAAAAACAAACATGCAAAATAATTCTCATCCTAAACATTATTTCAAATTAAAAAATACTTGAAAACTTTTACTTTGATTTAAAGCAAATGTAACTTATTCATGTGGTTTAAGCAATTATTCATTTAACTCATTTAATTAGGTTATATGCCCATAAATTTTATTAAATTCTTTTATCTAAATCTATCTTCAAAACATTCTGTTCATGTGACACCACATGACACTGCATGATTATCTTACAATTTTACAGTAAGGCAGATGAAATGTGATCAGTAATGAAACAATTATTTTAACTGTCATAATTATAGCAGCTAGGGAAAGATTAAAAAAATTAAACACAAGACATGTGCCTTTTAGGCAGCACACCACACTAAATGAAGCCACAGCTTCGAATGGCCAGGGAGGATTTCATGGATATAGTGACTATTGTGGTTTTAAAAATTGACGGGTTTGTAAAAAAAAGCATTTTTCAGCATGAAATTGTTTTTTGTAACATGTAATATGATTCATTGGCAAAATTCGAAAACATGGTTAGAAATAACATGCTGTTTATAATAGATGTCAAGGCCGCCATTGTTTGTAAACATTCTTTTAAACAGCATGCTCGTTGAAACAAGTGATTTTTTACAGGGGGTACAAACTTTCAGCAATAGCTAAAAAATCTACAAGGCAAGCACCTATTTCTTTTTGTGATAGTTTGCATGCATAGGGAGTTGCTAAGCAAATGACAGAGTTTCTGTAGTCCGTAATTTGCAGGTATTTTTTGCCGGAGGAACGAAAAATGTTGTTTTTGGGTCTCCGGACCACTAAATAGATTTTTGGCTTTTTAGGAATGAATTGGAATTTTTTTAACTGCCTGACTGTTGCACATGGATGATTTCATTACATAATTGTGCAATGTTTGACATATATGTTCTTAACAAATGTTTTTTTTTTCCGCGGTTGTGTAATGTTTGGGATCAGAATTTATTTAGACATATTGCTTGTAGGACATTGACGGCAGAAACTTGAAATTTAGTGTGGAGTGCTACCTTACATAGAATACAGGGCACATGACTATTTGTGATAAATTCGGACATTAAACCCCTAAAATTTTCTTCATTAAATAAATTATTAATCATATAAAATGTTTAATTATGAGCATACATAATTTGCTGGACAAGTAATTATTATTTTTGACATCATATGAGCATCAATTCATACATGATAGGTCTTTATTTAACATTTTAAAGCAGATTTATATCTGGGGGAAGAAATTAATGAAACAACTGAAATTAACAAGTTTCCCTCTCCTTCAGGTAGTGTACCAATGTTATGTGTAAAGTTACATAGACCTCTGTGTTATAAAACTGATGTAGAACTCAGAAACTTTTATAGGAATAGTCATTATATAATTACATCCTTATTGTGCTGGTACTGAAATTGATTAGCCACTTTGCTTCCAGTATGGAGATACGCTGGCCAGTCTGCAAATTTCATGCAGTCTAACCAGGCTCTATACTGTTGACTGGCCAACTTCAAATATCTCCAAAATTAATAATTAAGTTAAAGGGGATAATCTCATACTTGGTATTCTCGAAGTTCATTAACACCTGAGTTCATAAATAATATCACTTAAAATTATTTAAATATAACTAAATGTACATATGCATATAAACTAACTACAACTTTAACAAAAGAATCAGATTTAAAAAGCTAACAAACTTATGTACAATTTTATACAATTTTTAAAGCTTAATTTTCTCTTTTAATTAAATTTATCAGCGAATCATTTTTCTTTTTTTCTATTTGAAGAACTGTTTTCTACCAGAGAAAATTAGAATGGTTGCAATCAGGCTTGCCCAATACTTCTTTGGTATTTCAGTTTCATACTTATTTTTAGTATTCAAACCTACTTACATCTAAGTATTTAAACCTATGTTTACTGCCTCAAGTGAGTAAAATTTGACAATTTCTACATACAAAGTATTAACTACATTCATTTATTATATTAACCTTTCCCATTTTATTTTGAATACTCGTAAATGATACATAAAATGTAGAATAAATCCTGTTTAGCAGAAATTAAAAAACCTAGTAAATCTAGTAATCACTTTAAAAGATGTCCACTGGCTAAGACCTGAGGCTAATACTGCCAGAGACAGCCATTAATAACTTATATGTGTACATGTAGGCTTGAGTTAATTCATTTAAGCCAGACATTGCTTTCCTTATTACTACCAGTAAACTGAGCCAATCTAAGAGTTGTCATTAAGTTCAGCCGCTGGAGGCAAAGACGACCATCTCAAATTCATTTTGGGCCATTCAAAACATAGAAAATTCAAGTCTCAGAAAACTATGCATTCCCAAATTGATGCATTACAAACATAATATTTTCTTGCCAAATGAGAAGCAGGTTATCAATTACAAGTCATCAGTCTTCATTTTTGTTTTTGTTGCCCGATTTTCTTTTAAAAAGTACTTTCATTCAAAAGGGAATCACTTGAAGTAACTTATAATACATTACAAGAAAACAAGAATACTAATGACAATCCTGATGGAACCTGTTAATTGCTTTTAAAAAAAAATAAAATTATTTGGTGTTCAGCAGTTTCTGTTAGCTACTTTAATTGGATAGAATCTAAATTTAGCAGAACTTGGAAATAATCAAGTACACATTATTGTGTGCTGTAACTATGCTGTTATTCTGTTAACAGGTGTAATATTCAGAATTTTCTAAATTTACAATTTGGACTTTTTACAACACTTTTTTTCTCAAATTCCAATGGTATTTGTGGCATTCCCAAAATTGTTGAGAAAAAGGTCTGTAAATCTAGATCATATGTGAAGTATAGATAGTTATACCAAAATCTATCATGAATCTTAATAAAAGCTATTTAACTATAGAGGTTTCTTGAATAAGTCCTTTAATCAAAGTTAGCTAACAAGTTATACAGGCAAATGGATCTGTGCTCACGTTATCAAACCTGAACTATTGTTTGATTTTATTAACCTGTCAATTCCATACTGATTATACGGTCAATGCGCAGAATATATCAATATTCGATAAATGTTCGGTAAATTCCGTGAGAGGTAGCAATATAAGATGTGATTAAATTCATCTAGTTTCTATGAATTAGTTACAGTGACTGTTATAGAGCAATAGGGTAAACCACGGGTATATTTTATCTGAATGTCCAACGTGTTGTAAGATCGAGACAGTGTCCATTTTTTTTCTAATTCATAAGTATTTTCAACATTTTTGAAGTTATGGTTGTTCCGTTTTTAATATGTTTTGCACTTTTTTGTAAATACTATACTTTTGTTTATAACATTGTTTAAGAATTAATACTAAATATTCATTCGGATTAAAATCAATAAATGTAATTTCAGTGCCGTAAAATACAATGCAAAATGTGACAATTCAGTGTTTCTTAGTTGTTTCATATCCTTGTAGACAAGTTTGCAAGCGCTTGACGATTTTCATTAAAATATACTTAAAAATAAAAAAAGATAAGTCTAAAAAGAATGTCAAACAAGGGTGCCATAGTCACAAAATACGCCCGTTTACGAAAAAGCTTTAGATGGAGATGGGGGCATTATGGATAAGTGTTATCTAGCAAGCAAGTTTTTATTCTTGGCACTGTGTTGTTAAATGAACCTTAAAACAAATCAATAGGGAAGATATGCACAGAATGTGTGACCTTGACCTTGGTTGCAGGGACCTGAATTTTATGCACGGCACTCAGCCTCACAATGATGAACATTTGTGCCAAATTATATTGAAATCCCTCTATGCATGTAGAAGTTTTGCTCCAGACAAGTGTTTTTCTATGAGCTCTAACTGTGACCTTCACCTTTGACCTAGAGACTTGGTTTATGTGCAGGGCACTACGTCTCATGGTGGTGAACAATTCTATAAAAGTAACATTAAAATTCCTCCATGCATGTAGAAAATATGCTTCCGGGACAACATCTGGATTATTTATAAATTCATCTCCAGTGGACCTGGACCTTGCAAAATATTAAAACCCCTAAATTAAATGTGTAACACCTGTAGTCATGATAGTTACCATTTGTGCCTTACAATCCATCAATAAATGAGACTTCAAGGTCCCTATAACCCATCTTTCAAATATTTTAATCTGAACTTTGACCTCTAAGTGGTAACCTTGACTCATTGATCGGCAGGGATCTGAATTTTGCAGCGACAACTCAGCCTCACAATGGGGGTTGTGAACTTTTGGTGCCAAGTTTATATTGAAACCCCTTTGGGAATGAAGTTTTGGGCTCCGCGGACAAGCGTTTTTTTAAATTTGAGCTGCTAAGTTTGTGACTTGGGACCTTTGACCTGGAGGAAAAACTTGGATCAATGATGGAGCAATACATATCATGGGGTGAAGTGAACATTTCCATAAAGTATTATAAATTTTCCCTTCCATAAAAGGGTTGGGGATATCTCCGGGAAAAATCTGGATTTTTTCCAAAAATTTTATGCCCTTGCCCTTTGAAATTTTATTAAAAT